AATTAAGGACAGTATTTTCTCCACACATCCCACCTTACCACTCTCAAAAGCAAAAACCAAACCTAGACCTTTTATCTCAGAAATAAGCATAGCCAACAAGGGCTACTGTAAGCAGAATGGGCACGTCCTCGCTAGAGCAGATAAAAGGCTACACTAGCGGGTCCAGACGGTGGTGACAGGGGGCGTTGCTAGGGTTGGGTTGGGCTGAAATTGGAAGGTTTGTGCCAAGAAGACAGAGAGGCACCTGGAAATTAGATGAGCATGCACAAAAAGCAACAGGGAGCAGGGAGAGGTGGGTGGTAGGACCAGCTAGCTTCTAATCATCAGAATGAAGAGTTAGCAGAGAAAACTAGTAAAATTAATACTGATTAGGTCTCGTTTACTTTCATTTTCTTTAAAACTTTTACTCAAGATTGTGACACACGGTGCATATTTGTCCTTGTTCAGCAATGCATTTGGTAACTTAGCCATACTTGTAATACAACGAGTATTTTGAAAACTCTTTAGTATCCCGACTCATGAATGGAGCATTCTCTGTGTATGTATATGAGAGTGTGGGTATGTGTGTGCGTATTCATGCACAAGTTTTGTTGTTGTTGTCATCGACTTTTCGTTGTGAATTAGGTGAAGATTCACATTCAACAAGTCATATGCCTTTGGTTTCATCTCATCCACTGTGAACTCCTCACTCACTCACTCACTCAACTTCTTCCTGTGTCCGGTTTCCACTGCTCCTTCTGTCCTAATCTTGAGAACTCTCTCCTTGGGTCAACGCCGCCTTTTTTATTGTAAGTGGTTGATTATTCTAACATGAGTTCAGTTCCAGGTCTGAAGAGTGATTCAGGGCCATGGTCTTGGGGGTCTCCCCAGTCTCGATTCAGCCAGTAAGTCTGGTCACTTTTATAATTTATTCCTGTTCCACATTTTCCTCCAACTCTATCCAGGGCCTTCTAATGTGATCCTGTCTCAGAGCAATTGGTATTTGTAGCTGGGCACCATCTAGTTCTTCTGGTCTCAGGGCTCTGGAGACTCATGTTTGTGTAGCTCATTAGTCCAATGGATTAATTATTTTCATATGTCTTTCTTTTTTTTTTTCTCCAGACAGGTAAACAGGTGGGCCTTAGATGACTGCTCATAAGTTAAAACTTCAGTTGCTATTCACCAAAGTAGGTTATAGAACATGGTTACTGTGAATAGTTAGGCCAATTGATCTTGGTGTCCCAAGGACAAAGGCCTCATTTATTTAAAAGCATGAGGTAAAAGACAACAGTATTTGCCAAATGGAATTTTATTTTTATGTATATTTAAGAGCAACTCCGAGCAAGAAAAACTAGGCTTTCTACTCCCATAAACAGTTACAGTCTCGGAAAACCACAGGGGGTTGCTATGAGTTAACACTGACTCATTGGCAGAGCGTGAGTGAGTAAGTGATATTTCTTCAATTATATGCCTTTTTCTTTACAGGGGAAATTCCAGTTTTTCTTTCTTTGTGTTTGTTATTTCTCTTCTCCTAGATGTCAAACAGCATGACAATGTCCGTCTCTAGCACTGGAATTCTGAGGTCCCCCCCAGGGGCAGCATGGCACTCAGAATGCTCATTGCTGACTCTCAGGAAGCTGCTTACGGGAGAGTGGTGGGTCCCCCCAGGAAACAAACCACTCGGTAGTTATATACACACAGCTACTTTGCAAAGCACCTGATTCATTTTTTACCTGGAGGATTGCTTCACCCTGGAATTCACTTGGCAGAAAAGAATCCCAGTTGGATAGAAATCTCAGCCCTGGTATATTTCAAGGCCTGGAAAAACTGAGTCTCCAAAGGTTGGACAATGCCAATGCCAATAATCTCTAAACGCCGGAGCCTGAAGTTATCCGGAGCTAGTCCCACCTGGAAGTTACTTTGCCCTCGAAATAGGTCACCCACGTTTGACAAAGACCTTTTAAAATGTGCAGGCAGCAGAGGTTTCCTTGAAGTTCTCTCTTCTGACTCCTGGGCCAACTTGCTGTAAGTTAACACGACCGTGATCAACAGGCATTGGGAGCTGCCTTCGCGGAAGCCATGAGTCGGGAAAGCCCTCCAGTGGAGATCAAGAGGGACAGCCGATAGCACACCACCCTCAAGGGTCAGATGGGAGAATGAGTGGGGGCAAGTTCATCAGATTGAAGAAACAGCCCACATTGGGGTAATGAATGGATAGTCCAGAGAACCTAATGAATGGATACTCCAGAGAACCTAATGAATATATAGTCCAGAGAACCGAATGAATGGATAGTCCAGAGAACCGAATGAATGGATAGTCCAGAGAACCTAATGAATATATAGTCCAGAGAACCTAATGAATGGATAGTCCAGAG